GGGGGGGGGGGGGGGGGGGGGGGTGAATAAAGGCGTCCTGTAGCAAATCAATGCGTTTTTGTAAGAAAGTTATTATTATTTAAAACGGTATAAATTGTTTTGTGTAACTTCTGCTAATTGGTGTACATGTATTCACAAGAGACTGCCTTTCCAGCGGATGACGTAGGCGCAGCGCATGCAGGTGTGAGTCTCGTGAAAACCAACCTTTGTTTACAGGAGCAAAGGAAGCTAAGTTTCCATACTTTAGCAAAGTAAAACCAGTCTCCTCTTGGTTTATATCAAAATCCTCACAAATTCTCCTTTTGTGCTTCTAATTTGTGACCGGTGTTTTGTTCTCTCTCCGTTGTGCTTCCACGTTCGTCACTAATCACAGCCGCGTGTGCGACGCACACGTCCTGCATCATCAGCTGGAATGGCTTTCGCCTATTAGGGCTGTCAAAATGACTGAAAAACTAAACTCAAATTTTCTACTTAAATATTACCAAAATTCGCATTATATTCGAATTTAAAAGGCATAATTTCAGTTAGGGAGAAAAAAGCTTTTGGCTTCTCTCTCGAGGCCACAAGAGGGCGCATCGAGCAAAATATTATGCACATTTCTTCAAAGCGTAATAAAATAACACGACTATCTTTGAAAAAAGTGCATAATGTTTATAAACCATATATAATTAATAAAGTTGCTTAAACAATTAGAAAAAAAAACAGCACCATGCATGTATGTGTAGTTTAATACAAAGGACCGAAAACCAGTCACAAAAAGTAGGCTACTTTCTTAATTTAAAAACATGAGATGCAGTGGGATGGGGAAAAACTGCCATAACGTCTTTAGACATGTTTTTTAAAAGTTGAACTTGCATTAATTTTACATGGCTTTCTAAACATGCCGCTCTCTTGTGCGAGACGCGAGTGCAACGCTGATAGATGTCCCTCTAGAAAATGTGATAAATATGCGTTCTGTGTGAACGGCTTGGTTTCAGTTTCGCTGTAAACAACATTTCTTCAAAGCGTAATAAAATAACACGACTATCTTTGAAAAAAGTGCATAATGTTTATAAACCATATATAATTAATAAAGTTGCTTAAACAATTAGAAAAAAAAACAGCACCATGCATGTATGTGTAGTTTAATACAAAGGACCGAAAACCAATCACAAAAAGTAGGCTACTTTCTTAATTTAAAAACATGAGATGCAGTGGGATGTGGAAAAACTGCCATAACGTCTTTAGACATGTTTTTTAAAAGTTGAACTTGCATTAATTTTACATGGCTTTCTAAACATGCCGCTCTCTTGTGCGAGACGCGAGTGCAACGCTGATAGATGTCCCTCTAGAAAATGTGATAAATATGCGTTCTGTGTGAACGGCTTGGTTTCAGTTTTGACGTAAACAACATCTCCACATTAATGCTCTTGTTTTCCGCAATATATTGAATGAACAATGTAGCAGCGCAGCATGCTCATCTGAAAGAAGAAAGTCATATACACCTAGGATGGCTTGAGGGTGAGTGAATCATGGGCTAATTTTCATTTTTTGGGAGAACTAACCCTTTAATGTTTTTAAGGAACTGAACAAAATCTATTTCAGGGCATGTCAAAACTTCTCCAGGGCCCCCAAAACCCTCAGATCCCAGAGGGATAAAATTAGTAATTTAATGGACTTGACCTACATTTTCGTAGTCCTGGTGTGATCCTGTAATGTCCTCCATGGTCAATACTAGAAAGACACACAATAGACAGTAAATGTTTAATTTAATTGCTTACAGAAACAGCTGAACTTCTAATCTTATTCTGACAGTTCATATGTAGTTTGACATGATAACTTTTTGACATCCAATTTTTTTTTCTTAAAGGTGAAGTATGTGGAAATATTCTATTAGTAGAACCAAGTACAAAAGAAATTTAAATAATTTGAATTTGACTCTAAACTATTATGTGTTTTAATATTAGTGTGTTTTCTTTTTGAATTGTTTTGCTTGCATAATCATATTTAAATAATACATCAGCTGAAATTAAATATTGTGCATGACAGACATCACTATACTAACAGAAATGTCACCGATTATAACAAACCAACCCCAACTTTGTTTTACACAGCGCGCTGGAATACTTGATTCTGATTGGCCAGTCGCGACATTCCAAAGTCAGTTATATGACACTTCAAAACTAATAATGCACGGTCAGAAAGTGAGGACTGGCTAAAATATCTTAACTTTACACTCTTAGTAAAACAACAACTCAAACCAGTTCTCACATAGATAGATGTACATGTACACACACACACAGGACAGTATGTCAGTATTAGTGCTGTGTGTTCATACTTGAGTATCTTCAGTGCATAGTCTGGATCATTTTGATAAGAGCGCAGCTGAAATGCCGAGTGTTCTTGGTGATTGTAGCTCAGGTCCAGCTCTCTAAGGTGTGACGGGTTTGAACTCATAGCTGAAGCCAAATAACAACATCCCTCATCTGTCACCATACAGCCTGATAACCTAAAAAAAAGAGAGACTAACACTAGCATCATGATCTTGTTGAGGATTTTAAGTAACTGATAAAACTGGTCAACGTCTGTAGTACTCTACAGTTTTACACTCACAAACCTCAGTATCTCTAGTTGACAGTTTGGGTTCTTGAGCGCATCAGAGATCAGCTTCACTCCTGAATCCTGCAGATCATTGTTACTCACATCCAGCTCTCTCAGAAGAGACTTTGGGGATTGAAGAGCTGAAGCGATGACTTTACAGGATCCATCATTGAGATTACAACCAGAAAGACTGTAATGCAGGAAAGAGAAAAAACACTTGTATATGACAGCTAGATTTGAATTCTATGGCTTTACGTATTGTGACATATTGAAAATTCACGTGGCTCTTAGCAGATCCCAAAATGGGTAACAACCTCAGGTGAACAACACATGATTAGATAAGATTAGATTTAACTGTATTGTCATTGTGCAGAGTACAAGTACAGAGCCAATGAAATGCAGTTAGCATCTAACCAGAAGTGCAAATAACAAAGTATATGGGCCATTCTACAGAATTTGTACAAACGGCTGTCCCACAACCAAAAAACACATTTAAAAAGCATTTAAGTATTCAAATCTTAGATGTTTATTAAGATCCTTCTATTATCTATTGAAACCCACAATAATATTTAAAATATTACTAAGCTTAATTTATTTAAAATAATCATTTATTGGGTACTTTCAATTGGGAGATGGCTGTCCCGAAATCCTAACCCCTAAATTTCAACTTATGAAAATTATATTGAAGTAATGTTTGTATTTTTTCCATTGTTGTTTTTAAAAGAATCTTTTTTTATTCTTTTGAAAAGTGAAACTTTTTAAAACTTTGAAAATTATGAAACTTTATGTAAAAAAAAAACGTGTCATGCATTTTTCATGTCACTACCGAAACAGTGTATGTTTTAGTCTATCGGCTGATAGTCTGAATTTCTAAAAGTCTGATTTTAATTAAACCCATATATTTATGATCAGGAAATATTCCTGTGTCCCCCTCTCTTATCACTACAAGGTGCGATTAGATAGGTCCTCTCATTTTGAGGTAAATGTGTTCAAAAGTCTGAAAAATCGGTGTAACTTTAAGGAACGTCACTACCGAACACCTTTTTTCTGCAATTAAGCACACTTTTTTGGGAGTTATTCCATAACATTTAGTTTTTATATGTGTACCACTGTTCAGAACTGTGCTAGCTAACCATGTGCTGATTAGCATCTTTGAGCTAAGGTCAAAATGATCTAAAATTGTCACTACCCCAACATTTGGTGGAGTTTCGGTAAGTCTAAAACATTCATCAGTTTCATTAGTGACAAAAGGGAGCACATAATCCTCATAATTGGGGGAAGTAAACAATTTTAGTACAGTTATGCAAGTTTTGTATTTTAGTATGTTTTAGTACAACCCCAATTCCAGAGAAGTTGGGACATTTGGAAAATACAATAAAATCAAAAATATGTGATTTGTTCATTCTCTTTAACTTTTATTTAATTGACAAAAGTACAAAGAAAAGATTTACAAAGTTTTCACTGACCAACGTAAATGTATTTTGTAAATATGAACAAATTTTGATTTTGATGGCTGCAACACACTCCAAAAAAGTTGGGACAGAGGCATGTTTAACACTGTGTCACATCAGCTGTCTCTTTAATTACAATTTTTAATTGTTTGGGAATTAGGGATACTAATTGTTAAAGTTCTGCAAGCAAAAGTTTTGTCCAATCTGGCTTGATACAAGACTTCAGAAGCTCAGCATTCTGTGATTGTTGTTGTCTGATTCTCCTTTTCATGATGGGTCATACATTTTCAATAGGAGACAGATCTGGACTGCAGGCAGGCCAGTCTAACACATTCACTTTGTCTATGAAACCATGCTGGTGTAGCACATGCAGAATGAGAGCTGGCATTGTCTTGATCTAATAACCATGGACGTCCCATGAAAGACATCATCTTGATGGCCGTATATGTCTCTGTAAAACTCCAATATATGCCTCCATGTCAATAGTACCTTCGCACATAAGCCAGTCACCCATGCTGGTTGCTCTGATGCACTCATATACCATGACAGACGTTTGCTTTTGCTTCTGTCGCTGATGAAAGTCTGGATGCTCCCTTTGGTCTTTGGGACTGAGAACTCGAAATCCATTTTTCCCAGAAACAAGTTTAAATGTGGACTCATCTGAGCACAGCACACCTTTCCACCATCTTTTTTGCTATCCAAGATGAGCCCGGCAGCATCGCTGCATAGAATTGATGTATAGTTTTCTGCTAGAGTAACAGATATTCAAGTTGCATTTCTTGATGCAGCAGCAGACTGTGGTAATTGACAGCAGTTTTCAGAAGTACTCCTGAGCCCATGTGGCTATATTTAACACCGCAACATGATGGTTTCTTATGCAATACCATCTGAGGGCTCAAAGGTCAAGGACATTGTCACGAATCCAGTCCGTCGCCTTCCGTCCGATTGTTACCAGAGGTCGCCCTTTCATTATATTGACTTTCACACCATACAGACTGTTACACGTCACCCTGGACTACATTTCCCATGCTCCATTGCACTAATCACAAGCTCATCTGAAACCAATCACACACAGCTGTTACCAATAACACACACTGTATAGATCAGTCCCACACCACCATTCAACGCCGAGTATTGTCTAGCGTTTATTGCTCTCCAAGTGATAGCTACATTACAGAGCCATTCCGAGTTTTCTGAGTCAAAGTCTAGTAAAATCCTGTTTATTGCCTTAGGCTAGGATCAAGATTACTGTGTATCACATTTTGTCTGATCTGTGCCTGCCCTGAAGTATATCGCCTGTCTTGGATTACCCCTCTCGTCTCGCCCAGTTCGGATACTGTTTACCCCTCGCCTGGACCATCGGTGAAAATGCTGGATGTGGCGGTCCTGGGCTGGTGTGGTTACACGTGGTCTGCGGTTGTGAGGCCAGTTGGATGTACTGCTAAATTCTCAGAAACGCCTTTGGAGATGGCTTATGGTAGAGAAATAAATGTTCCGAATCAGAATCAGAATGAGCTTTATTGCCAGGTATGTTTACACATACAAGGAATTTGTTTTCGTGACAGAAGCTTCCACAGTGCAACAGAATGACAGTGACAGAACAAAAAACACAGATAATAAAAAATAGAAAATAAGGAATAAAAATATACAAATTGACAATTGTATGTACAGGTATATTATGTGCAAATTGAAAAGTAGACTGAGTATGTGTGTTAGATAAATAAGTGTA